GTGCACCAGCATACCTGGTGACTTCTATCTTTTTCATACATGCAAAGAAAACACTCAGGCATAGTCAGCATTGTTCCAATCTGCATGCGGTGACTCCAGTGGATTTCAGGTCCATCATTTTAACCACCTGGCCACAACTACATGCCCTTAAGGATTTCTAAAAATAGGATCTGTTCAAGTAATTGACTTAGTGTCTCTTGGCTCCAAATTTGCCCTTTTGCTTGCTCTGTGAAAATTAAGCTGGGCTCTTTAGTTTTCTTTTGCCACTGGGCACATTGTGGAGGATGCCAGTGGAGATACTAGAGAGACACTTACATAGAAGGTTTAGCCTCATGATCCAGTGAGTTCTTTTGGCAGGCTGTCTTTAGCTCCTGTAGGAACACAGCTTCTCCAGCACTGAGCTCCTACAGCATGAGTGACCTTTTAGACACCCAGCTCCTGCAATGCATTGTGTCCAGAAGCTTCCCCAGAACCCTTGAGGCATTTTTGTAGCAAGACCTCTCTACTGAGACTCCTCTCTTTGAACAGCTTTCCCTGATGCCATACAAGAAAGATTTCAAAAAAGTCCCACTGGTAGGCATCAGTGACCCCTTTGCCATTCATAAGCCAAAATGATATACTCCAAAATGTCTTAGTTCAGGCTGCTATGACAAAGTGCCTTAGACCAGGTGGATTATAAGAAACAAAAATTTATCTTACAGGTTTGGAGGCTAAAAGTCAAAATTAGGTATGGTGGGCTGTCTTCCACATTGCTGACTTTTGTTTTGTCTTCACAAGGCAGAAAGGAAGCTAGAAAACTTTGGGCATTAATCCCCATTAGATAGTCCCACCCTTGGGACTTAATTACTTCCCAGAGGCCCCACTAACTGGGTCTGGGTCTGAGTCCTGGATGGAAGAAGTCCTATCTGGCATGCTCTATCTTGATTTTAGGGGTAGTGGTTGATCCTTATATCTGCTATTTCTGTATTTAGAGTTCACTTCTTGCTGGTCACTTTCTTGTCTAATAGTTAATAACACTTTATTTTAGACTTTTTCTTGTTCAAATTACAGTGTGGATTCTGTGTCACTCTTTGAACCAAAGGAAATATCTTGGAGCTTGTATCAACTTTCCCATTGATATAGAACATTCCCACCCATTCTAGACAAGCTATCTCCACCTATCCCTACCCAGAAATCACCAGGCCTTACAATATATATTCAACTCTGTCAGTTTGAGTGAAGTATTAACTATCTAATAGAGGAGATACCTGGGAATATGAAAAGGAATATGGTTTCCTCATGATTAAACAGTCAAATTTGGAGCTGGGACAAGAATTTTGCTATTTTAGCTCTCAATCCAACGTTCTTTCCTCTCTGCTACGATGACATTATTCATCAAAACTATCAATTAAGCAACTAACTATTTGCATGTGGTCTTAAAAGATATTCAAATTGTAAAAATTTGGGCCTAGGTATACTGCTCCCATAGAATGAGCAGGGATTAGGGAAAGTAGAATTTAGCATCAGAGAAATGTGGACTGCTTATCACCTGTGGGGTCTGGGGAAAGTAGCACAACATTTTCTTAAAATAAAAATATCCACATGATAGGGCTGTTATGCAGAAGAAACAAGCACATGCACAAGTCCTTCTCATCACTAGACAGAGAACAAGACAAATAAGGCTATTAAATCATGCCAAACCAAATCCATTTCACTAAAAAATTTTCTCAATTTACATATTTCTCCCATATGCATTTTAAGGGCATTTTTTAAAATGGGGCTTTTCATTATTTTCTCCCTGACCTGCCACTGTTCCTGCTTGCCAACAGTGAATATGTGCCTTTCAGAATAATGTAGGATGAGTCAATCAGAGCCACTGAGAGAGAGGTGAGTTCCATGCTACCTCATTCATTCTTCTTTTGCATAATCAATGTGAATAAATGGAAAGCTAGTAGTATTCAGTAGGGTCACTTTCCTGTCTGTCAGACACCATTTGCACAGAGTCATTCAGGCCATTCAGAGTAATTGTCTTCTGAGACTGATGTCTGATGTTCCAGGGCTGAGATTCATGCAGCCACATAAATTTCCTTGAACTTACATCCTAGCTGTCCTGGAATCGCACTTTGGAGGCTTCTTATTTGATTAAGAGATTCAAGTTCCATGAATTACATAGTATCACACATTTCATTTAAATGTTCTACAATTTTTTAAAAAAGAGTGTATATAGGTAATAAAGAGTATTAAAATAATAATTATCATCCAGTATTGTGTCTTATAAATGATGTATTCAATACATATTTTCTCATTTAACCTTCCCAGTCCCACTGCATGTGATCACTATTATCTACACTTTACAAGTAAGAACAGTTACAAAATTAAAGTGTGGAAAGGCAATGGGCTTGCCCAATGATATAGAAGTCATTTTGGCTTTAAAAGAATGTTTTCAGTTCCCTACCTTACCTCTTTTGGTTTGTTATGTTGACCTCCATTTTGAAACAAACAGCATTTATATTCTGTGATGGAATAGTGCTTACTGCTTCCTACTACTTCCAGAGCCAAGAGTGTGGCCTTTTTCTGAATACAATTACTTTCCGGTTTATCCACACACCAATTATACTCAAGAACAATGCATCATTTGCTATATTATAGGCCTATTTTATATTTTGATGCTCAGTTATCTTCAAGTTTATCAAAGCCATAGTTTTGTTTTTTGTTTTTGTTTTTCCTGGCTACCTCAGCTCGAATCTGAATTGACCAAACTTTGGAAATAGTTTTTCTGTCTTGAAAGAGAATTATAATGTATACCACCTCCCCTCAAAAAAGACACCCTCTGTATTTTCTTAACCAGAATGGGCCTTCATCAGGAAATTAAAAAGGATTAAGGCAGAAAAGTAGAGAATTGGAATTAATGTGAGCATCTCTTCTCTTTGTTCCTTTGGTTTTTTTGTTTGTTTTGTTTTGTACCAGGGATGCAACTCGGGGCCTTGCACTTGCAAGGCAGATGGCAGCACCACTGAGGTAAATCCACAGCCCTACTCTTTGTTCCTTTGACCCTCTCCATCCCAAAAGGTTTTTGTCCAAAAATTCAAGTTGTTAAAAAACACATCTTGCAACATTTCAAAATAATTGTATTTAAAGATGTTTATTTTAAACTATTTTCAAATAAAATTTAATGTTAAAAAATATAGTGTGTCATGCCAGTGTCTCATTCTAAATGCTTATTTGCAGTACTCTTACACAGCAAGTGATTTGTAGAAATAAGATTCAAGAGTCACTAGAAAAATAAAGGAATGGATATATTCTGGTAATTTAAATAACAGTGCATAGTAGAAATGTATGAGATACTGATTTTAGAAAAACATAATCATATGTACAAAACTGCATGTGTCAATTCTTTTACTGAAATCTTCAGAAGATTCAGACATTAATACAAAACTGGTCCTAGACTGGGGATATACTTGGGCTCTCTGGAATAACTAAACAAAAAACTGTGAACACTTTTCTGGACCAGTGTATACTGCATTGGGTCCCCACAGCAAAACCAGGTGTGGACTAAAAAAGTAAGAATTATAGACACAAAATAAGGAAAAAACCCTTCATGAAAAAAATAAATTATAACAAACTGAAATATTAACACTCTTAAGATCTCGAGCTAATAAACAAGCTGAAAAAAATTATAAAATAGCTGTTCAAAATGATTAAGTAGACAACAGAATAGACATATGTAGAAGAAATAACACACCATTTACAAAGAATAGATGTTAGAAAAAATAAAAATTAGTACACCTACCAATGAAAAAAATTATTGGAACAGAAATCTCAAAGCCTGGCATATCAGTATCTATTGCTACAATAACGCTACTGTCACGGGACTTCAGAGACACAAACCTTTCCTATTCATGTGCAGAGTGCAGCCAGAGGAGACAGGTGGCTTTGCTGACCTTGACTGAGCTCACTCACTTCCTGGGGGCTGAATGGCTGTTGGCTGATCTAGCTGGCTTCAGGGTGACTGCAGCAGTGAGTCTTGGATTCACATGTGCCTCATCCTCCAGCAGACCCGCCTGGGAGTGCTACTGCGATGAGGGGAGAAGTGTGTTACAATGTAGCTCTGGAGTGGTCCCCAGAGTTTCATCTGTTACGGGTTTGGTTGCCAGCCTGTGGTGCTGTTGAGAGGTGATAGAAGCAATAGAGGTGGGGCCTGGCGGGAGGAAGTTACATCATTGGAGGGTGCCCAGGAAGGGGGCATTGAGACTCCAGCCCCTCCTTCTCTCTTGGGTTCAGCCACTACATGGTGAGCAGCTTTGCTCTCCTATGCACTCCCCATCATTGCATCCTGCCTTCCACAGGCCCAAACTGATAGGGCGAAGTAACATGGACTGAAACCTTTGAAACTGAGCCAAAATAAATCTTTCCTCTTTTTAAGTTGTTTACCTTGGGTATTTTCTCACAGTGATGGAAAGCTGACTAACAAAGTGCAAGGACAACTGGAACACTCATTTCTGCCTCCTTTTCTTGTTCAAAATAGTGACATCTTCTGGGAAGATGGTAGACTGGTGAATAGCAGGGAAATAGGCTCTCTGAGATTTGCTGTCCAGACACTGGAATATAGCAATGTGAGGAAGAGAAGGAGGGAAGTGGGTCTGTGGGACCTAGCAAGGACTGTGACAATTGAAGTCCATAGGGAGAATGAAGTGAGAGACTTCTAAGAAATAGGAGACAGCAAACAGTGCTTTCTCTCTGAGTCCTATTCACTGCGTGGTAAGGGTGACTCAAACCTGCAGACACACAGTGACTTCCATGAGCACAGAGACCTCCATGGAGAAATGCATCAGTGGAACTGAGCAGTAGATGCAGTGGACTGTAGTGGCTGGTGAGTTATTCAGGTTCAGATGTGCTCCAGAAAAAGGCAGTTGGCCAGTTGCCATCTTGGAGAAGAGTCAACAGAGCTCAAAACTCAGAATGGTTTCAGGCTACCTCCTTCAGTTGGCAGAAGATCAAGGAGACAAGTTTAAGCTGCAAAAAAGCATATGGAGTGTTGCAGTGTGAACAAATCAGGTTCCAGCCTCACAGCAAAAAACCACCCTGAGCTTCAGAACTAAAGGTACAGGCTTGCTGTGATTATCCAATGCCTCACTGTAAATCTATAGCTGACTTGTTGGGATTAATTAACATGCATTTTGATTCTGTCTGCCAACTTTGTCTACCAGTGACAGCAAAGACATGCCTTGAAGTGAACTTTTTTCTCTTATTTTCTTCTTCTTTTTTCTTATTTTTGTCTTATTTTTTTCTTGATTGTTTGTTCTTATTTTTATATAAGTGTGAATATTGTTTCTCGTTATTTATTGTTGTTTTTCTGTTCTGTTCTTATTTTTATTTCTTCCTACTTTCTTTCCTTCCTGTCTTCCTCACTAATTTCCCAACATTTGCTTAATCTTTCTCCAGGTTTGCTTTCAAATGCTTCCTGTTTTTTTAAAATTTCTCTATCTCCCCCAACCTCTTTTAAATTTTCTCCCATGTGGGTAAAATCACCATATCAAAGTCTGTATTTAATAATTATTGATTGTACTACTTTAGATTGTACTACTTTAGCACTAATACAGTTGAAATGGATGACCTCAATACTCCACTATCACAAATAGATCAACTGAGACCAAAAAAATCAACAAAGAAATGTCAGAACTGAACCAAACTTTTGAACCAATGAACTTAGTAGATATTTACAGAGTATTCTAACCTACAACATCAGAATAGACATTCTTCTCAGCTGCACATGGAATATTCTCCAAAATACACTAGCTCACAGAATATACATAAGTGTAAAGGAATTGAAATTATCTCATGCATATTATCAGACCACAGTGCAATGAAATCAGAAATCAAAAGCAAAAGAAACCACAAGGATTTCATAAACACATGGAAATTAAATAACACCCTCCTGAACAACCTATGGATCACAGGTGAAACTAAAGAAGAAATTAGTCTGTACAATTAAATGATAATGCCAATACAGCATCTCTTATAGGACACATACAGAGAGAATATAAAAGCACACCAGGAACAAAAGACAAAGTACTTGCTAAGGTACAAGTAGGTAGATGAAAGCAAAATTTCCATCAGCAACAACATATATAGAGCACAATGCACTAATATGAGCACTAAGCGAAAATAACTGTCAGCCTAGAACTCTATACTTTGCAAAAGAATCACTTCAAACTAAAGACAATTTTCAGACAAAGCCCATGCTATAGAGCTATTAGATAATGTGCTTTAGAAAGAAAACAAATAAAGTCCAGAAGAGAGGAAGGAGATCTGAGAAGTAACACTAATGGAAGCATTGGCAAATATAAATATTTACATTATTGTTAACTGTAAATTAAATAATAATCATAATGACTAATGGAGGGATGCATGAGAACAGGGTAGATTATATGAGAAATATGAAGTAGTAATTAAAGTGTTTCAGGTTCTTTCCTTCTGTTATGCAGGAGAAGAGTATAGTTATCAATTAATCTTAATTTTGTTAAGTCAGGTATGCTTGTTAAAATGTAAGGGTAACTATTAGAATAATAGAAATAGAATTTATAATTTTCAAAGCAACAGAGGGAAATGGGTCTATGGAGAACTTAAAAGATTCTATAGAAAGTAGAAAAGAAATGAAAATAAGCAAATATACTATATAATATGTACACATAAAAATGAAAGGAGAATATATATATTCTAATTATATGCTGATATATAATATATGTTATAGAGAACTAAAACTAAAATAGGAAAAACATGAGTAAAACTATACTGGTAATGACATTATTTGTAAATGTATTAAATTCATATGAAGATTTAAAAAAATCTGTATTGTGTACTTGATACATTCCAAACATAACAATTTGGAAAGCTGGTAAAGTGCAGTATCTACAACTGATGAAGAGTTTGTATTCAGCAAATATAAAGAACTAAAATTAGCGAGACAAAGATGAAAACCTTTAATTTTACCCCCAAATTGTAGGCCCAAGTCAATATGCTGCAGGCAAGTTCTGTCCCACCAGACGGGTGGCTGCATAGTGAGTGACAAGGCAGGGGGCTGAGAAGCTGTTCCGGTTGGGCTCCTGATGGCCTAGCTCCCTAACTGCCTGTGGCTCACATTCCATCTTCCAGCCCTAGGTAAAGTGGCCTTGACCCTGAGGCATGGCATGCTGGGAAATCAGACCTGCTGCCGACAAACAGTTCTGTGAATCTGTGAAAGGAGAGGGGGCGAATTTTTTTTGAACTCAAGGAAAGTTTAGTTGTAACCACCACCACCATCCCTAACACACCTAGATTTATTCCTGCCATGGCCAGAGAAAGTGGAGAGATACAGCGAATACTTCATAAAATGGCAAATTCCAGGCCCTGAAAAGTGATGAAATTTGAAAGGTGCTTGCTTCTAATTTGAGTTTAAATTAAGTGAGAGAACAGTGTGTTTCATGGCATTCTTTTAACACGACTAAATGCAATCAATTGGTTAAATATTAATTCTTTTCTAGAGGAGAAAACCTTGGTTATGCAAGCTTGGTCACGTGTACATTTGGGTTAATGCTTCACTTCAGGTATGTCACAACTTTTCAAAAGTGTGACTCTTTTAAACACTTCACCTTGCCTTTGTATCTTAATGTTCTATTTTTGCAACAATTGTTATTACAATGATTATTTGTTGTTGCAGTGTTTGTTGATGTCCCTGACTTCTTCACGTTAGTGACTATATTTAAAATCTGTAGTTATATTTCAAACATAAAGAAATATACAGATGTAATAGGTGCCTGAATACTTACCACACAGATTTAACAACTGTTAACATGTTGCTGCATTTAATACAAATTTGTTTAAAAGAAAGATTTCATGAAAGCTCTGTTCACTTTCTTTAGATTATCTGTGCCTTTTAATTCACTTTTTAGGAACCACTCAGGTACAGAGAGTATGTTGAATATGGATCACCTTCCGAGGCAAAATCACAGTAAGTGGTGTGTCTGAGATAAGTTAAATATAAAGTACACACAAGGCACATTCTGAGGATTAATGTAAGACTTTGTGATGAGATGATTTTGAAATCAGCTTTAATTAAGACTGGACCATCATTCTAATGGGGCCATCGTCTTCATCAGCATTTACTCCCATGACTTTGTAGCTGGGAGGACGTGGTTCTGAATTCTAATGTCACATTCCTCACTATAGAATCTCAGGTACTTATCTCGTTTAACCTTTATAGCTTCAATTTCCTTAACTGAAATTTGGGGAAACAGTAATACTTGTCTCACAGGGTTGTTCTAAGGATTAAATGAGATAGTGTGGGAACTGCTACTACTGAGGCTGAAATTCATCAATGATGTTAATGAAATTCTTCTTGTCTTTTAATTATTTTTCCTTATCCTTCACATGTCTAGTCTCAGCTGAGCATGGCTATTTTTTTTAACATAGAGGAAAAACTTCTGAATTTTTATTCTTTACTGTTACTGTATTGATTTGTACTTGTCATGCTTTATTTCCAACACAATAATTTTTCTTTAGTTTCTTGTCTGACACCTTGTGCCTCACATTTTCTTTTCTTAGATAGCAAGAACAGAAAAATTGTAAAATTTGAACCCAGCGATATTCTGAGGTCCAGCATCTTCAGCCTTGAATTGCTCTGTTGACCAGGCCACTTGAGGCGCTGCTGAGCAGCGCTGGCTTCTCACTGTTGTCTGTGGCTCTTCTGATGCTCTGGTGCTGGCATTACGGTCAGTTATTAGGGAACAATACATTTAACCTCTGGTCACACTGTGGACATAAATTGCAGTAAGAAACACCATCAGAGAAGTCAGAGGAGGTGTAAGTTAAATTTTTTCATTTGGATGTTGCCAGAAGGACAAGCTGAGACTAAAGACTTCTTTCTCATCATTACTCAACTCCAAAGCACACTTAACATATAGTAGCTTCCTAGTGATCACTTACCGCGTGGTATATGCATGATTTCTCCCACGTGAAGTTTCCATTTACCTGCAAACAGTCCCTTTCTGGGATGGTTGACGATGGCCAAGTGATTCCCATTAATCAGTGTCCTCACTACCTGAAACTTGTTCTTTCGTATTTTAAACCATTGTCCAAGAAGAAATTTCTTTATAAATACTTTACACATTTACTTTAAATATTGTAAAATGTAATTATGGAAAAAAATAAAATTTTGTAAATAAGAGTTATTTTCCCAATGCTCATTTCCACTTCATAAACAGTCCAGATGTTGATGCTCTGTAGGTACCAGATAATATGCTATTGTTTTATAGTTCTGAATATCAAGCACAATTACAAAAATTTTTACAAAATGACCACAGCGACTGTGACATCCCCTTGGACTGAGAACAAGAGACTGGTCCTGTGCAAGCGCTGGAGGATGCCGAAATCCTCCCCTCACCACGGCATTAGTCAGCCCCCACTGCATCCACCCTAAAAGGAACGTTCTCTTGGCAAAGCCTTCCCCTGCCACCTCTCTGGCCTTGCTGGATGAGTCTAGGATAGACAGAACTCTGCATTTGAGCAGAATCATGAAGGAAAAATACCTAGAAGAACAACTCAAACACTGTAATATCATAGTATTTGTATTAGGGATGCAGTCCCGCATTGCTTATGGTAATTTATAATAGATCAAATACATGTGAAACATGTTACTAAGCTCCTTTCTGTGAAGGTGGCCCTTTTCTCAACATTCCTATCTGTGTGCTGGGGGATAGAATTGGAGGGGGGAGTTAATTGAGATTCTTTGAATAGGAATTTTGAGTTCTTAGTAAGGCAATGTGAGTGGAAAAAAATAAAGATTTTTAGATATGATTATACTTTTATCAACATCAAAACCTAGGTCTAGTGAACTAGAAGACAGAGATTGCTAGAAGCCAGGGAGAATTCAGGTTACGATTAAAGGAAGTTCACTTAAGATGGAGAAAATGAACAAAGAGGGTCTCACCTTCTAGTTTGAGACCATGAGTGCAGAACAGCCAGGACAAGCAGACCAAGGCCTTTGGTTACCATTTACCTTCGGGGATGAAATCCAAGGGACACAGTGCTGTACAGATGCAGTGATACATGGCTCAGCCTGAGAACTCTGGAGCCAGGTGCTGCACCCTTCTGTGTAACTCAGGTGAGGCTGCAAGTCTCCTGGAGAGCTCCACCGCCGACTCAGACCCACATCCCTCATGGTGGGGAGAGTGCAGGCATTGTGCTCTGTGACACATGGATGGGCTTGGCTGCATCTTGGAGAAGCCTTTCGGAAGCTCACCGGCTATGCCCAAGGGACCACAGATCCCTCCCCAAACAGGGCACAGAGCTCGGTTGGCCCCCTCAGAGCAGAGCCAAAGGACTAGACCATGAACTCTGCACACAGAACCAGAAGTGCTGCTTCCTCATTGATGAGAAATCCAGAAAACCCCTTCCTACCTGCCTTACGTGGTAGATGTCCTATAGTAGGAGCAGCAGGCAGGAGTCAGAAATCAGATAGGGCAAAGACCTGAGAGAAAATATTCTATTGAGACTGTAAGCAAATACATAAAGAGGTGGTTAATTGAGAAGTTTAAAGTCACTGCCTCTGCTCAAACTTCAAGGAAGCTGGACATAGTAAGATTAAATAGGTGATAATAAGATACATTTTCTCTGCACATGTTTGCCAGTGTTAAACTCTAACACATCTATACTTTGAAGGAAGGAATAGTGGTTTTTGTCTGTATTGTTTTTTATGGTACTAGTGACAGAATCCCAAGAGTACTGAGCCCTTTTTATTTTGAGATAGTGTGTCCCACTAAGTTGCCCAGGCTGGCCTAAAATTTGAGATTCTTCTACCTCAACGTCTCAAGTAGCTGAGATTACAGGCATGCACCACCACGTGGGCAGAGTTGCATATTATTAAATAGCTCTCCCCTTGCATAAAGGAGTTGAGGCAGTTACAGTGTGTGTATTAGAAAATGAGCACTTCAAGAAAGATCAAAAGACCCAAGAGAGCTTTATTATTTGACAAGAAGAGACTGCTGAAGACATACTTACTCAATATATTTCAACATAAAGAAAATTGGAATGTATGATAAGTTGTAGCTTCTCTATTCATGGAATGTCAATATTTTCACAGAAGAAATCAGAGAAGCAGGAGCTGTTTTATTCATTCATTTATTTCAGGCATTTCCTATGCTTTTTGGAATATGAAGTATATTTGGTTAATATTTATTGAATGAATAAATGAAAAAAATAAGTATTCTGCATAGCATTGGAATAGTCAGCACAAGATATGTCTGCAGCTCTTTCAAAACAGCCCTGTGCCAAATGGTGGAGTCAGGGGAGTCCAGTATGGAAAGACAGGTTCTGGTACCCCATCCTTACTCTTAGAGACCCGTCAAAATCAGCGGAGCAACATAAACGAGTACTGTGCATTCTCATCCTGTTTCCCTCGGAGTTTGAGGTTGCAGTGTATGTGTGTTCCAGGTCCAAAGGGATTGGTTCTGGAGAAGAGAAGGATGATTGCGCTGAAGGGGAACAGACAGTAAAGCACTTTTAAATTTGTGTTCCATTAAACTTACAGTAGGTAGGGGAGTGGGAAGGGTAGGGGAAAGGAAATAGGAAAAGAGAAAATATGAGAAAAGGAAATAATGGAAACAAAGCCTTTGTAAATAGGGGAGGGTAGCGGGTGAAGGGAGGGAGGGGTATGGGGAAAAATGAGAACAAAGATCTGTCATGTAAAGGTACAAGATCCCAATGATGAATGTAACTATACTGTATGCTTAAAAAGTACCAATAAACTCAATGAGAAAAAACTTACAGTGTGTGCTGAGTTAAAGAATTTTTTAAAATGAGCCCAACAATGAATTTTGAATAGCACAGTTAAACTAAACTATTGAAAGAGTTAAGATCTCCATTCATTAAATGTAAATATTTAAAGTGAGTTATAATTAGTAAAACCCTGTTCTGGCTTTTCTTTCTTTCTTGCCTTTAAATATCAGAAACCTGAAAAACTGAAAGCTACCAAGGATCCATCTGAGAAATTCTAGTGAAAATACTTGAGAATAAAAACTAACTAGCCTCATAAAAGCTCACTGAATTGGGTACTCTTTTTGTTGCCTCTCTGTATTTTATACATTGTTCCCCAGGCCAGGGCCTCTCGTGTTCTGCTTACTCTCATGCACAGAGGCAGTTTTCAGGACTACGTCTTTCCTCAGGACTCAGCCTAGGTATCACACCATCCTTACAGGTGCCTGTGTCCCCCAGTCTGGCTTTTGTGCCTCTCTGTTAAGTTTGTATAGTGTGTGTCGTGTTCTTTACCTCTCACCGCTCTTCACCACTGTGGAGAAAATCCCTTTAAGTTAGACACCATAGGTCTCAAACTCTCAGGATTTCTCATAGTCCCTGGCCTAGGATGGATGCCCAGGAAGGTTCTGGGAACTCCAGACTCAGCCACACCTCTCCCCAGAGCGATAAGAGCATTGTTAGGGGGTGGGGAGATGGTTCTAAGTCCCCACGTTAAGTCTCGCAGACTCTGTAGAAATTATGCCAACCAGCCGCGGGAGACCTAGGGCCATTTAGTGGCCATTTAGTGCCAGGACTCCAACAGCAGGGGTTCAGAGGCAGAATTAAGCTAGATGGAAACTTGTCATGGGAACAAGAATAGGAAAATTCTGGCACAGTGGGAAAGAAGGGGGAAGTGAAGTGTATCCGCAGATGCCAGAAGCCGTGGAGCATGGATCTGGTGAGCTGGTGCAGGACCCTGCTGACCTCAAGACTGTCCAGTCATGCAGCCTTGCTGGCACATAGCATTAAAAAAAAATTCTGTGGCTGACCCTGAGTGGCCTTGTACACTCCTGTGTACATGCTTTCTAAAAACAAAACCTTTTCCCAGCTGGGTAGGGTGATGGCCTTTTGCAACGTAGTCAAAGAAAGAAAATGTTGAGAAACAACCTGCTGTAAAAGTCAGATCAAGTTTCAAGAAGACTGAAAACTGGAAAGAATAATGTTAGATTGCTCAGAAGATATTAATTAATACTCTATTTTTATAAGCTCCACAAGACTATTCTGAGTTTCATTCGAATGATGACCATTCATCTTAGTGGCTAGGAGAGTTGGTATACAGAGCCCGTACAGCTTAGTTTGTCACTGTCTAGAACTGTTAGCAACCAAGGTCATTGGTTGAGAGAACCTGCACTGGAAACAGATATGTTAATTACTCTACTTAATTCACTGATGTAATTCATTACCTAACATTTACCTAATTAGCTAACATCTGCACTTGTCAGAGGCAGTGCTAAAGGCCAGACTGGAATTTGGTGGTCTTCCTCATTATAGCCTAAAGATAAATGGAGAGCTATGGCATAGAATACCAAATAAAAGTATGCAGGTCCCAGTGGCAACTGGTGGGAAGGTTGAGAAAATTTCCAGTGATGGTTGAGAAAGACCAGCAGGTAGAGCAGCTTGAGGTAAGTCACAAGGTAAGAGACATATGTAGAATTATAAATGAAAAGCAGGAATCACTGGCCCAGGTTAAAAAGACAACACACATATTCAGGCTGATTTTGCCTCATGATTGTCATCACCTTTTCCAAAATAGGTTTCCTCAGGGATTTGGGAGTATCTTGGGCAAAAGTGTAACTGTCTCTCTTTTTTTCAAAAGAACAAGAATAGTCCTTTGTCTGAGGAGCAGCTGGTAAAAAGTTTTTCCCACATTGTAGGTTGTCTCTTAGTTCTGTTCATGGTTTCTTTTGCAGTGCAGAAGCTTTTTAATAAGATGAGATCCCAGTTGTTGATTCTTTCGGCTAGTTCCCGTGCTACTGAGGATTTGTTCATAAAGTCTTTTCCTATGTCAATGTCTTCCAGAGTTCTGCCTAACTTATCTTCCAGCAAGTTTAGTGTTTTTGTTTTTATATTTAGATCTTTAACCCATTTGGATTTTAATTTAGTGCATGGTGACAGATAAGGGCCTAGTTTTAATCTTTTGCAGATTGAGATCCAGTTTTTCCAACACCATTTATTAAAGAGGCTATCTTAATACATAAAGAACTAAAAACAACCAGCCCCCCCAATATAAAGACCCAATTCAAAAATGGGCATCTGAAATGAACAGACATTTCTCAGACAAAGAAATAAAAACAGCAAGTAAATATATAAAAAAATGTTCCACATCACTGGTCATTCGAGAGATGCAGATGAAAACAACACTGAGATTTCACCTCTCCCCACAAAGAATGGCTGCTATCAAGAAATCACACAACAAATGTTGGCACTGTTGTGGGGAGAAAGGAACCTTTCTCCATTGTTGGTGGGAGTGCAGACTGGTGCAACCACTATGGAAGTCAATATGGAGATACCTCAAAGAACTAGGATTAGATGTTCCATTTGACCCAGCCATCCCTCTGTTGGGTATCTTTCCAAAAGAATTAAAAGAATCATACCACAGTGATATATGTGCACCAATGTTTATAGTGGCACAGTTTGTAATAGCTAAAACTTGGAAACAGCCCATCTGCCCATCAATTGGAAACTGGATAAAGAAGATGTGGTTTTTCTATAAAATGGAATACTACTCAGCCATAAAGAATGATAAAGTTGATTCATATGTAAATGGATACATATTGAGGATATACTCCTAAGTGAAATAAATAAGGCACACATGAGTAAATACTGAATAGTTTCTCTAGTGTGAAAAAATTAAATAGTACTCAAGATCCTAACAGGACAATTAGCAATGTGAACTAGGAAGAAAAGGACCAAAGGTGTAGGGACAGTGAGAAGGATAGGGAAAGGGGAATAAGGGAAAGGAAAAAAATATGAGAAAATATAAAAATGGAATTAAAGTGTTTGAAGGTGGGGAGGGGAGGAGGAGGTGAAGGGAGGGTGGGGACAAGGGGAAAAAATGAGAACCAAGACCTGGCATGTAAAGGTACAAGATCCCAGTAATGAATGTACCTGTACTGTCTACCTAGAATGTACCAATAAATTCAATTTAAAATTTATAAAAATTACAGTAATGTGAAAAAAAAAAAAAAAGAACAAGAATAGCCAGGTTTAGGCTACGGTGATTTCCTGACATAGACATCCTTATTTTTCCTTCTCATTCTGAAAACTCTGCTGGCTGGCTGAGATGGACTAGAAGAGGCCAGCATGGAATCTGAGGAGTTTGCCAAGTCTATCACCAGGAAGTGGATCAACTTGTAACTAGGGACTCCAGTAATGATGGGAACATTTGGTTCCTGATGGTTATTCTTAAGGAGAAATCCATGCACCCAGTGAAGTGCCTTACATTTGCTCCTACTTGGCCTTTGTAAACAGTTTAGTTTCTAATTTGCTTGGAAGTCACCAGCTGATTGTCATGGGAGCCAGAAAATAATAGATCAAAATAAAGATCCGCTAAAGTCCCTCCTTCCAGTGAAAGGTGAGAAGCATAATCACAAGCAGCAAATTCACAGATTTTTAAAAAAATTCTATTTTTCAAAAACATTAGGCTAAAATTCATTATTCTACTGGGACTGACACCAAAACATGGGTTAGTGGATTTTAAAGTCAACCTAGAGTTTAACTAAATGAAGAGGCCCTGGGAAACAAGTTTGTTTAATTACTAGGCCTTTTGGGTGAACTTGAATGGGCAAAGTTCAGATGAATGGGCGTTCTGAGGTCCTGACTTTGGATGCTTTCTTTGCTTGTGATTACAAGGATGAAAATAAACTGGTGAGGGGTGGGATGGGGATGGGAAAATGAGGTACTTGGAACTGAAAGTTCTCACACGTATTGAACACATTTTTTTTTTTTTTAGCTAATCTGGTAGAATCAGCACGTGAATCAAAAGAGGACTTGCACTCAAACACATCTGTCTCAAAGCAAATAAGTTTGTGCACCTCATGCAACCCATGTTGGGACCAACGTCATGTTTTAGGGAAGGGTGCTGTGATCACCAGTTAGCAAGCTAACCAACCTGGTTACGATATAGGATGCCACACCTTCCAAAGGAACCTATCTTCTTGGGAACATGGTGCTCTGAGAACTGTGCTGCAGTATAAAAGGCCGTGTCAGGAGGTATTTCTGAATTAACAGGAGGGTCTAAAATTCTAAGTGAAGACTTCTATTAATAATTTTAGAAGAAAGCATAACACCTTTTAGTGAAGGTGTCATTCAAACCTGAACCTGAATTATTATGATTAGATCTATAATTTAATAGTAAATTGCAGTATTTTTCTTTACTGATATCCACATAATATAAAGTATGGCTTCTATTTTACCTGCTTCTAATAGATCCTTGAGACCTGACAGGAATACATATGATGGGTGAGTAATTATGATTTTTATTTGTTTTGATCAGGTGGATGTTCCTTACATTTTGTATTAAATGCTAAGATGATGCCCCTCTATCACTGTATAAATTTCTTAAGCTTAGTCATAATGTAGATGGAATACAGCTTACAGTACCAATTAAAATGGAACCAATGCACATTTTCTTTCCAATAACAGCATCATTTATTGGTTCTTTATTGCAAGGGGCAGAAAGGAAAGAGTTGGTTCATTTAAGAATGGGGGCAAAAACCAGCTGGGTATGGTGGTGCACTCCTGTAATTCCAGTACTTGGAAGGCTGAGGCAGGAGGATTGCTGTGAGTTTGAGACCAGCCTGGGCTATAGTGAGTTCCAGGTCAGTCTCAACTACATAGTGAGACCCTATCTCAAAAAACAAAAACAAAAACACACACACTCTCTCTCTCTCATTTTTTTTTTGAGGGCCACTAGGGCTTCACCCATACCAGACAAATGCTCCACCACAGAGCTCCACTCCAGACCCTTTCTTTAAATTTGCCAAAGTGCACCTGACACCCTTCCTACTGTGACACACCTGCCTTTTTCCTTCACCCACATCAGCATGTCCTCTTGCCCTGTGTGGGAGAAATGGTCAGTAGTGACGTGAAGCTGGGGGAAGGTTCAGGAATCCACCATGGACTTTATTTTGCTTCAGAGTCTGTGTTGTCCAATACACTATGCACAGTCTAGATGAGGCTCTTTAAACTCATTAAAACAGAAGGAAATGTAACAAAAAAAGAAAAGAAAGAATGGGGGCAAAAGAAGGTACAAAAAAACACACAATAATTTAACTAACCCTCAGGAATGCACAAATTTCCAGTTCAGCTTGAATTCACTATGGAGTTCAGCCTTTAATTACACGACGATGGTCTGTAACTGAGAAATAATTAAAGGACCTCCCAGTGCTTATGAGAGATTTCACTATGTTGCAGCATGTTATAAAGTGATTTCATATGTTTTGTGATGGACTTTGTACTGAATTCACTTCTAAAATACCATGGTTGTTATTCTTCTCAGGGGTAGACATAAATCTGCCAAAGCTGCCTACAAATTTAGCTCCAATTTCTGCCCTGGCTTAACAGAACATAATAGAGTATTAATCTTCATGAGCTTCAAGGAGGTTATGCAAGTTCCTTGTGCTTCACTGAGAGTTGTGTGAAATGTCTTGCCATTTTTGTGTCAGCATTTCAGAAAATGCTCCATTTACCCAAACCAAACAGAGCTCCGCCCACTCCCTTCATTTCTTCAGAGAAGTCAAGGAGAGGAAAAAAAAAAGAAAAAATATGATGAAGGTAATGGAAAATGGAACAATTTCTTCCCAGCCAGCACTTATCTTTGGTGACCAATATTTAACACTGATTATGAGGTATAATTTGTGGGTTGCTAACGCTTTAACCTGTGTGTTAGGGAAAAAAAGAAAATGCAAAGAAAGTTTGGGGATGAAATAGTATATGCAAGTTTATTTAGTAAAAATTATGTATTTTAGAAAGATCAAAGTATTGTAATAGCCACATTCATGGAAAGTTGACTTTATTATTTTTCTTTTTATTGAGTTTATTGGTACAATCTAGGTATACAATACATTTACATTCATTTTTGGGATCCAGTACCTTTACATGATAGGTTTTGATTCTCATTTTTTCCCTTTGTCCCCGCCCTCCCTTCACCCCCCCTCCCCTCCCCATTTGCAAGCACATTATTTCCATTTTTTCATTTTGTCATATTTTTTTCCTCTCCCTTATTACCTTTCCCCCACCCTTCCCACTTTCCCTACGCCTTTAGTCCTTTACTTCCTATTTCACATTATTAGTTATCTCATTAGGATCTTGTGTACTATTATAGTTTTTCACACCAGAGAAACTATTTGGTATTTCAGTTAAAGAAATCTCTATGTGAACATTAAAAATAGAGAATCCTAAAATAAAACTACAAAGGAAAGTAAAAGAGAAAAGGCAATGATGTAAAATTAAAATAATCCTTAATTCATAAGGTGAAAATGGTCCCTGAACATATTTAAATTGCTTCTTGCTCTTGTAGTCTTATATTATTCTTTTTTCCATTATTTAGAGAATAGTTTATTAGTTTCTGTAATAAAACCCACATAGATATGACCTTACATACTTAATACAGTGCATTACCCCTGTACAAATGGAGAAAAAAATTAACATTTCTAGACCAATATGGCTGTTAATTTCTGTACAATGCCAACTCAACACAGTACATTGGGATAACTTTTTCCAAAGTTGACAGCACAGTTAAAGTTTCCAAAAATTCAAATTATATATATGTATATAGCATCAATAGCAGCAACAGCTTTTCCAGGTTCTGCAGTCATCTGAACAAAATTATAGACGTTCAGCACACTCCATTAAAAAAAAAGAAAAAGAAAAAGAAAAGAATAATACCCAGAAAACAGCAAAGTTCTGTTGCTGTTGTGGTACCAGGCACCATTTTTTTTATTAGCATCTTAATCATCATTTGGAAGGAGAACATTCTAGAGTAATATCATTAAATATAGCTCTGATAAAGCATGGTCACTACTAGATATCATAAAGCAGGTACAAGATATTTTACATTCACAGAGGTATGATACAGTACCATCCTACATCTGTAATAATAGAATTAGTTTAGGTTTGAAATTTACTTTGTCTATGAATAAGATTGCTACCCCTGCTTTTTTCTGGGCTCCTGTCATGTGGAGAATTGTTTTCCATCCTTTCACTTTCAGTCTATGGGTTTATTTTTGCACTAGGTGTGTTTCTTGTATACAACATATTGTTGAAATTTGCTTCTTATTTCATTCTGCCATTCTGTTTCTCTTGATTGGTGAGTTGAGGCCATTGACATTGATGGTTATAATGATATGTACTGACTTATTATTGACATGTTATTGGCCTTTTGTTGACTCTTTTTACTTTTTCACCTTCTCCTTTTAGTTTCTTGCCTTGCCTATTTGATTTGCTCTGTTGGGCCTCATAGTGTTGTCACCTTTATTGTCCCTTTCTAGGATCTTGTTTAGAATTGCATGTAGTGCTAGTTTGGTATTCATGTAGTTTCTCAGGTGTTCTTTGCCGTGGAAGTATCTTATTTCCCCATCTATTTTGAAAGAGAGTTTTGCAGGATACATCAGTCTAGGTTGAAGTTTGTTCTCTTTTAGTACTTGAAATATCTCATTCCAGGCTCTCCTTGCCTCAAGGGTTTGTGTTGAAAAGTCTGCTGTGATTCTGATGGGCTTTCCTTTGCATGTGATTTGTTTCTTTTCTCTTACTGCTTGTAGTATTTTGTTCTCCTGTTGGGTTTCTGGGATCTTGATTATTATATGTCTAGGTGTAGATTTTTTTTTATTGTGTCTAGTTGGGGTACTATATGCCTCAGTTATCTGAATGTCAAATTCTTTCCTCTCTGTTTGCTAAGTTTTCTGTCATTAATTCTGTGAACAGCTTTTTTAAGTCACTTGTATTTTCTCCTGCTACTTCATGGATTCCTATCAGTCTTATGTTATTCTTCTTTGTATCATCTAGGAATTGTTGGATCTATTTCTCATGATCCCCTACTGTTTTTAAAAGACCTTTCTTTTCATGGTCACTGACTGCAATCTTATCTTCTATATCTGAAAGCCTATCTTCGCATTCTTTTATTCTGTTGCTGACACTTTCAATGGAGTGTTTAATCTCCTGGATATCTGTTTGAATCTGTTTTATGGATTCCATTTCTTTCCTATGTTGGGCGTTTATTTTTTCCATTTCTTTCTTATGCTGGGCCTTCATGGCTTCTATCGTGGTCCTGAGCTCATCTATTTTTTTGTCAGTTTCTGCTCTAGAGTCTCGAATCATGACTTCCATTTTGCTCACTATCTCTGTGGTTATCTGGGAAATTATTTCCATTTTCAATTTTTCCAGAGCCTGATTCATCTGTTTTGTTACTTTCTGTGCTTTGAGTTCAGGGTGTCCTGGTGCTTCACTATTGGCCTTTTCATACTCATTTGCCCTACTGTTTGACATTGGTGAACTGGAAGTCTGTCTTTGTGTCTTGCTTAAGTGTTTTCTTATTTTTATTTTTGTTTCGGGCTGACCTTGGTTATCATCCAAATCTTCCTAATATAGCTGTGCCCTAGCTTTTGGGTCTTTAATGACCCACAGACATTCTCATCTTCATAACATCAGAGAAAATAGCTCATCAAATCAACCACAATCCTTCATCCCAACTGATACAATCAGCTACACAGTATGACAAGCACAACTTGGAAACTGACCAACTGTGGTAGTTACTGGTCTATCACCCTTAAACCATTTGGATTAAATTGAAATCAAGAAGTAGTCCAAAACATTTCTGCATTGAACAAACTTTTCAATATAGTATATTTACCATTTAGGGTAGGGGCTCAGACAGAGCTAGGATGCAAGACACCTGATCTCAGTTAGCTGATAGCTGAACCCCATGATGCAAACTGACCATGGGCTGCAAGGCCCAGTTTAAGTTCCCCAACCTTCTGAATGGTTGAACTCCACACCATTCTACTACAGGTTTCCCACGCTCTTTCTTTAAAGATGTTTAAAGTTGGGAACTCCTTAAAATACCTTTATGACCACCTCTCCCTCTGCAGAGTGGGTCCAAAGACTGGCACAATCAGGAGGTCTGGGGGGGTAGGGGAGTTGTGGGGGTGCACAGCTACCTTCCTGGTGCTGAAGCGATGGGGGCTCTGGGTGGGGGAGGGCTTGGCTGTCCTTCCCGCGGTGGATCGGGGCCCAGACTACATGGAAGGTTGACTTTAGCATGACTTCCCAACCCACCCTTTCCTTTTTGAATTAAAACCTTTTGTTTAGCTTTAATTGATAAATAATAATTGTGTGCATTTATTGAATAAGATATGGATATGAATAAGATATATATAGATATATATAGATATATCTATATATATCTATATATATATTGCAGAAAAATTCAATCAAGCTAATTACTATATCCATCATATTATCAA